GAAATTCTCTGTTGGATTACGAGGTGTAATACTGCTTCATCTCATCTCATCTCAAAAAGGGAAATTCATCTCAAAGCGACTTCTTGATTAATCAAAGCAACTTCTTGATTAAATTAAAAAAAAAAAACACACGTGCAAGGCACATGCAGGAGGAGGACGACCATCCTCTGCCAAGAGCTCCTTGGTGCTTTATACTAAATATCTAAGAATTTATCAATTTTCTCCCAAATGCTACTTTCATCTTCTAGCCTTGTTGCATCTGGCCGGTGGTGTTCTTCAATACTTTCAGTAGAATGTTGAACAACTCTTTGCTCGACAAAGGTTGGATTAACCTTTCTTGCTTTACGAGGTGGCCATCTACGAATACCATACTCCCTACGTATACGCTTCAATGTAGATCGACTAACTGCAAATATAAAAAAGGAGAACGCCTTTAATATTTCAAAACAGATACAGAGAAGAAGCAAATCAACACATGTTAACCAAATTGGAATTCAAATCTAATCTAGAGAAGAGCTTCAGTTAAGAATTACCTCCAAGAACTTTTGCAGCATCCTCAAGATTCCTCGAAGAATTTTGTTCAAGAACCTCAAGAGTAATTTCAAGTTCGCTTTTTAAAGTACAACTTGACTTTTGCATGTTTATATTAATCACTTTGTTGCCATTCTGTACTATATCAGCACCACCTCTTTCAGGATTTGCCACATCGATTTCCGTAATTGGTTCACCATGCGCTATGTTTTCTATGTTCTGCGGGAGCTCCTATCTAGGTGGGCTTTCAACAATTCCATTTTACTGTTCGTAAATACCATTCATAGAATTGTTCGCAGCATCAACTCCTGTTGTTAATTCTTGATATGATACGTTGTCAAAGCCCTGCGTGTGCTCTGGTCTAGGTGGAGATCCAACAATCTCACTCTGCTGTCCATGGACACCATTCATTCTTTCTCCTCCTTGTACTTCCCCAAGTCTTGGTATAGATTCGATACCAGTAGTACTGCAGATTTCAAAAGAATCAAATTCATCCTCCGGATAGACCTTTATAACCTCAACGGACAATTTCTGCCCCAATTCTTGTCCTGAAGCAATCTTGAAAGAACTTCCGAGGTGTTCTTTCGATGTCTCCATTAGGCTGTTCAACAATGTCCTAAGAACCCCATAGTGTTTTTCATTCGTAGGTAAAAAGAACTCCAATATGTAAATGCAATTGTTCGAGCAAGAGCTCTGTAAACAAACTGCGAAACAGGCAGAGTACCCAAGGACTCGTGCAATGCGTACCAACGGGTACTCTGTTATGCTTAATTGTCTTATATCCCTACAAAAGCATGCACTTTTGGATGAGAATGCTCTCCCAACTACCCCTTGTCCCTTCTGAATAAAATCTACACCTTCACTAGAACTTAGTATTTCTCCAAAAGTAGTCCAAGTTTCGATATCACCCAGTTCACATATTTCACTCACCTCGTCCAATACTTCTTCAATTTTAGCAATTTCTCCATATTGACCTGTAGACGAATGGCTTAACAGTATTAGCATGGAATGAATACCCTAAAGCTTCAGCCAAGATTATGCAGTATAAACGGAAAAAAAAAAAACTTGAGGTACTCACATGAACTTACTCCTGCAAGTCTTGCACAAGTAGTTGTCAGATTCACCATCTGTAATAGATTCTGGCAAACACATTATCCATGTATCATAAATAAATTAAGGTGCTATTTACAAGTTTCAAAATGTTTGCTTTGGCTTTTAAAATCTGTTTAACAACAACGAATTTGCACCCAAAAAAAGAAAAAAAACCAATTAAATAAGCTCTTTGTATGCTTACTCAACTAATTTTGGTATAGAAGTTCCGAAAAGCCAAAACCTCCTTCAAACGCCATAGATCTTTTAGAATCAACTTCTTTTGCTTAAAAAATAACTTAAAAGAAAAAGATTAATATTAGGGTGACAGTCACCATAGTTTTTGCAGTTATAAGCGGTTGAAAAATTGGTTAGTGACACATTGCAAAAGGGACCTTTCATTAGATTAGTTTATAAAAACACCTCTCCTACTACCACCTAATAATTGGAAACCCATGACCTCTGAAAACCGCGACTTATCCCTAATTTTGTAAAAGACATGGAGATATACAAAATTAATGCCAAGCATCTCCTATTCAAGTTAGATTTATCTCAAAATTCTTATTAAGTGCCAAATTTTGATTGGTCTTGAGTTCTCTGAAATCTTAAATCATTAATGTTATGCTACCACAAATCTCGCACTATATTATGGTCGGTAGTGGAGCAATTATCCGAAAGAGAAACACAAACGCAATGACGAATTAGAGTCAAATTGGCTTTTTAATAGTAACAGATGCCAATTAGTTACGGCCTAGGTTTCGTACTCTATGTTTCTTTTTTTTTTATATATATATAAGGGAGGGAGTCTGCACCCATTTCATATATATTATCTAATTTATTGATAAAATTAGGGTTACTAACATAAAAGCCTCCTATGGTATAGCTATCATACAGAAAACCTCCTGTAATTTCATATTATACGCGTCGGTACCCCATGGTTTGAATTATTCTGAAAAGTTGACAGAAATCGTTAAAACTGACGGAGTTGAGTTAAAAGACAAAAATACCCTAAAGACGCAAAGGTACCACTTTCATTCAATTGAAGTCTATTCCCAAATTGCCGCTCCCACCACTGGCCAGCCTATAGCTCCTCCTCCGCCACCTCGGCTTACCTTGAAAAGACCACGATCAATTTCCCCACCACCTCGGCTTCCCTTCATTAGACCCTTCAAGGACAGAATTGACTACTTCTACAACCAAGGCAAAGACGAACACTTCAAGTCCCGGGTCCAGAAGTACCAGTCCACAGTTTTCAAAACCAACATGTCACCCGGTCCTTTCATTTCTTCCAACCCGAACGTCATCGTTTTGCTCGACGGCAAGAGCTTTCCCGTCCTCTTCGACGTCTCCAAAGTTGAGAAGAAAGACTCTTCACTAGCACTTTCATGCCATCCACTGAACTCACCGGCAGCTATCGCGTCCTCTCCTACCTTGATCCCAAAGTCTTCCTCTTGCTTACGCTAAAGTCGTCCAGAGTAAAGGATGAGATATTGTATAACTTGTACTCTCATCACCAAGGCGGCACGGAAGCAGGACCATCCATGATTCACCCAGAGTTGTACGAGTCGTATTTAATTCAAGCGGACTTGGTATTCAATGGAAAAAAGCATTAAGAACAGAGGCTGTGTCATGATCCGCAAGACTATCAACTCCATGCAGTGGCAGACCAGCGGATCATTCCCATGAAGACGCAAGCTAGGATGAAGAACGTGAGCAACTGCATGGCTGCATGGCTGATGTGGAGGATGGAGATACACGTGAGAGAGTTAGCTGCAATTCTGTTAGAAGTCAGTTGGATAACCGTTAAGTGTTAGGACAAAATAAGCATTGTTAGCATGACAATTCTGATCTAGAATCTTCGGACCGTAGCTATAAATAGAAGGAATATTTCTAAGATGAGTAGTTTTTGGAATGAAATAAACTCTCCCCTCTCATTTCCTTCTTCTTCTCCAATTTCTCTTTCTCCTCTTCTGTTAATTTTCGGGTTCATAACAGTTGGTATCAGAGCCTCCGATCCTTGGACTAGGAGGCTTAAGCTAGAAAATCATGGCGGAAGGTACGCAGATGAAATCCATGGAAGAGCAGCTCCGCAAGCAAGAGCTCAGGATACAAGGAATTTTGGATTCCATGGCCACTGACAAAAGGAGCCTCGAAGACAAGATTGCTGCGGTTAGCTCAGAGCTGAGTGGTAAGTTGGATGCATTCATGGCGGCGCTCGCCACTCAGATCAATAACAAAGATAGAGGATTCCTACGAACACCAGAAGTTGGTAAGAGTAGGAGTACTGATAATGGTGGCCAAGGGCAGCAGGACAGGACCTACTGAGCTAGATTTTCTACAGGTACTATTAAGCTTGAGTTACCTGTCTTCAAGGGAGAACAACCGAGAGAATGGCTCAGGAAGGCACAAAAGTACTTCCAATTGCATCGTATTCCCAAGAAGCAATGGCTTGGGTTGGTAGAATTCTACTTAGAAGATAAGGCAGACGTATGGTACCAAAGCTTCAAGGCTGGAAAAGAAAACATCGAATGGGAAAGCTTCTCTGAGGAATTACATCGAAGGTTTGGTAGGCTGGAGCAGATGGATCCTGTGGAGGAATTCAACAAATTGCAGTTGTCTACCACAGTTCTACTCTACCAGGAGAAGTTCGAGGAATTACGATTCGTAATGATCAGAGTTCCTCATTTATCCGAATCTTATTTTGTTTCTAGTTTTTTGAGTGGCTTGCCGGAAGAGTTGAGGTCATTGATCAGAACTCACAAACCAGAGACCCTTACTCAAGCTTTTGAGCTAGCAAGGCTGCAGGAAAATGCCTTAGAATCGATTCTGAAGAGATAGAAATCCTACATAAGACTTCTAGTATGGCAAATTCCTACCCAACCACTAACAGCTCTCCCAGCAAATCCGTCATTGAGGCAGCAAGTAAGAGGCCTAATGTACAAAGTTTCCAGAGAATTTCTCTAGTAGAAATACAGTATAAGAGGGACCATCATTTGTGTTTCAAATGTGGCGAGAAGTATGGGCCTGGACATCAGTGTAAAGAGAAGGAGATGCACGTCTTGCTGGCAGTAGAAGAAGGGGATGAGGAGGCAGCAAGCCAAGGGGATGAGGAGATCATTGAATACCAAGGGCACCAACGGAAGAGGGATGTAGAATTTGCCATTCATGCGTTAACTAGAAAGATGCTACACAATACCATCAAATTGAAGGGACAGTATCAGGGGGCAGAGATGTCCATTTTAGTGGATGGAGGCAGCACACACAGCTTTGTGACCAATGTTGTGGCTCAAATCTGCCCAGAGTCAGTCCAGTAGGTTAAGCCTTTCCGGGTGAGGGTGGCCAATGGCCAATACTTGTGGTGTAGGAAGATGATTCCTAAGATGACCTGGGAGATGCAGGGAAGAACTTTTAGCCATAACATGTTCGTCCTCAACCTGGAGCCTTATGACATGATCGTGGGGGTGGACTGGATGGCAGCGCATAGCCCCATAACTTTTGACTTCAAGAACCTGATCATGGTCTTCGATCAGGATGGAGATCAGGTGCTATTGCAAGGTGACACTAATGAGACAACACTCAACTTGCCAGCAGATCACATTGAAGGGGAAGAATGGAGTCCCAAGCTATGGAAGAGATCATGTGGCATTAGGCTGTCAGAAGCTCAGGTAAACGACTCTTTTCACCACTCCTTGGATGCTCTACTTAGGGACTACAAAGACGTTTTTGGAGAGCCAAACAACCTCCCCCTCTCAAGAACCTGTGACCATCAAATACCCCTAATTCCTAATGCTAAGCCCTTCAAATTAGCCCCATATAGGTACCCTCATATCCAGAAAAATGAGATTGAGAGGCAAGTCAAAGACATGCTCGGCAATGGGATCATATAAATCAGTCACAGTCCATTTGCCTCCTCAGTTCTATTAGTCAAAAAAAAAAAGATGGGACGTGGAGATTTTGTGTAGACTATAGGCAACTAAATGACTTAACCATCAAGGATAAGTTTCCAATACCTATCATTGATGACTTACTAGATGAATTATTTGGTGCAAAGTTCTTTCCCAAAATTGATTTGAGGGCTGGTTACCATCAAGTCTGGATGCATCCTGATGATGTGCACAAGACAGCTTTTAGAACACATCTTGGACTTTATGAGTTTACTGTTATGCCTTTTGGTCTCACTAACGCCCCAGCCACTTTTCAAAGCCTCATGAACTCAGTTTTTGAACCTTACCTGAGGCACTTTGTCCTTGTTTTCTTCGATGACATACTTGTCTATAGCTCTGATTTGGATTCCTACCTTAATCACCTTCAAATAGTACTTGACACCCTCAGGAAACACTCCTTGTTTGCCAAGCTCTCCAAATGCACTCTTGGACAGTCCCAGGTAGAGTATCTCGGTCATATTATATGTGGTGAAGGAGTAATGGCAGATCCTGCAAAAATTAAGTGCATGGTGGAGTGGCCAGTTCCCAAATCAGTAAAGTCATTAAGAGGTTTCCTTGGACTCACTGGATATTACAGGTGTTTTGTGAAAGGGTATGGACTGATAACCAAGCCTCTAACAGAATTACTCAGAAAGGATGAATTCACATGGAACCAAGAGGCTGAGCTAGCTTTCCAGAAGCTTAAGCAGGTGATGAGTAGCACCCCAGTCTTGGCATTGCCAAATTTCTCTGAGGACTTTGTTCTGGAAACCTATACCAGTCACAACGCATTAGGGGCAGTGCTCATGCAAGGGGGACAACCAATAGCGTTCGTGAGCCAGGCTCTTGGACCCAAGAATTAAGGGCTTTCCATTTATGAGAAGGAACCGTTCTCCTTGATCACAGCAGTAACTAAGTGGAAACATTATCTTCTTGGTTCTCATTTCATCATTAGAACCGACCATCAGAGCCTTAAATATCTCCTAGAGCAGAAAATTTATACCCCTCTGCAACAGAAATGGCTCACCAGATTGCTGGGGTTGGATTATGATATACATTACAAAAAGGGGAAGGAGAACCTAGTTGCAGATGCTTTATCGAGGAGGGGGTATGAGGATGATGAAGGTGACATGGAGGGAGCTGTGAATACAATTTCTGTGGCTAAGCCATCATGGCTGATGGAAGCCATAGATACGTATAAGGGAGACGAAAAGGCTACAGAACTCTTGAGAGCACTGGCCATGCAACCAGATTCCTGTTCTGATTACTCCTTAAAAGGAGGAATATTAAGGTACAAGGAAAGGATCTACATTGGAGCTATAGGTGAGCTGAGGTAGAAGCTGATAGTATGCTTTCATGAGTCCCCTATTAGTGGCCATTCTGGAAATTTGGGTGCCTATCAAAGGTTGAAGGAACATTTTTTCTGGCCAGGTATGAAGAAGGATATTGAGGAATGGGTGCAGAACTGTGATTGTTGTAAGAGGAATAAGCCGGAGAACTGCAAGTACCCCGGATTGCTACAATCTCTACCAGTTCCAAACCAGGCTTGGCAGAACATTTCCATGGATTTTGTGGAGGGACTTCCTAAATCTGCTGGATATGATGGCATGTTTGTAGTCATTGACAGGTTTACTAAGTACGGGCACTTCATGGCACTAACTCCAAAATATACAGCTTCTACTATTGCCACCTTGTTCTTTGAAAATGTGCACAAGTTACATGGACTGCCACTCAGTATTGTTTCAGATAGGGATAAAATTTTTACAAGCACATTCTGGCAGGAGTTGATGGGCAAGCTAGGTGTTGAACTGCAGTTCTCTACTACTTACTATCCACAGACAGATGGCCAGACAGAAAGGTTGAACAGATGCCTTGAGACGTACCTCAAGTGCTTGTGTTTTCAGCAGCCTCACAAGTGGAAACAATGGTTGGCTGCAGTAGAGTGGTGGTATAATACCAACTATCACACAGCACTACACATGACTCCCTTCCAAGCATTGTATGGTTACCCTCCATCACAACTAGGCCTAGATGCTGTAAGGTCTCCGGTGGTAGCAACGGATTTATGGTTAGGAGATAGAGTGAAGTGGAATAAGATGCTTTAGGACAACCTTTTAAAGGCGTAGAATAGAATGAAGCAGTTTGCTGACAAGGGAAGGACAAAAAGGAGCTTTAATATTGGGGACTCAGTTTATCTCAAACTACAACCATACAGGCAATCATCAGTAGCTCTCAGGAGAAATCTTAAGCTATCTTCTAAGTACTATGGGCCTTACAAGATTGTACAAAAATTAGGCAGTGCCGCTTATAAATTGGAATTACCAGAGGGCTCCACCATTCATCCTGTCTTCCACGTATCCTTGCTCAAACCCTCTACCAAAGGAGTTAGTCCCACCCAGGATCTACCCCTGACAACCGAGGATGGCCAAGTCAAGATTGCACCAGAAAGTATACTAGCAACTAGGGAGGTGGTGAGGAAACGGCAGAAGGTGCTCCAAGTATTGGTTAAATGGCTGAACTTGACTCCAGATGACTCCACTTGGGAGGATGCCTCTGTCCTTCCCTTCGGTCTCAGTTCCTTAATTTTCAGTTCAATCCTAGTGAGGATTGTGTTGAGGAGGGGGTGTTGTCATGATCCGCATGACTATCAACTCCATGCAGTGGCAGACCAGTGGATCATTCCCATGAAGACGCAAGCTAAGATGAAGAACGTGAGCAGCTGCATGGCTGGCTTGGAGGATGGAGATACACGTGAGAGAGTTAGCTGCAATTCTGTTAGAAGTCAGTTGGATCACCATTAAGTGTTAGGACAAAATAAGCATTGTTAGCATGACAATTCTGATCTAGAATTTTCGGACCGTAGCTATAAATAGAAGGAAGATTTCTAAGATGAGTAGTTTTTGGAATGAAATATACTCTCCCCTCTCATTTCCTCCTTCTTCTCCAATTTCTCTTTCTCCTCTTCTGTTAATTTCCGAGTTCATAACAGGCTGCCTCCCCCATAAATCCACATACATTTACGTTTTACTTGTAAGAAGCGCAAACACAATGTTAAATGCATTATCTGTCACCGCTTTCCTTCCTTCTATACTATACCATGTTGCTACTGCTGATCCAAGTAACTGCATCCGGCCAAGAGAATTGATTGCTTCCTTCACTTTTGACGCAGGGACCACGTCATCCCGGAGTTCCAGAAGAGCTACACCTAGCTATTCGACGGCCTCGAGCAGGAACTCGCCACCAATGGCAAAGCCAAAGCCAATGAAGCCAAATTTAAAGTGTGAAGGATACAATAGGAATATCCGGTGAAAGTTTGTAATAAAAACTCATTTTTCGCAAGAAACACGCGCCTTTCCAGTGCGTTTAATACAAATGCTTTACATTTGATGATTTCCGTCGACTTTTCAGAATAATTCAAATCATGGGGTACCGATACGTATGATATGAAACTATAGGAGACTTTTCTGTATGATAGCTATATCACAGGGGCTTTTCTATTTTTAACCCATAAAATTATACACTCATAAATGATAAACAACACCACCAGTTCCTTGTCAACAATAGAAAAGTAATTAAGCAACTTAAAAAGAGAAAAGTCGAACCTCAAGCTCTTTCAGAACCGATCTCGAGGAACATAAGAAGGATATGGTGACACAAATTCCAGTACACCAATGGGGAGGTGCCGAGTAGGATGATAGATTGGCAACGCCCAGTAATCCCTGACATGGCCGACCGCATAATCACGTTGAGGATACTCTCTAATAGTGTATTGCACTATTTTGGTCACATATTGCACCTTGTAATTAGGGATGAGTAGAAAATTATCCCCTGTAATCACGAAATGTACAAATTGCTCTAGAATGACCAGAAGTCAAATATATACGCGTATGAAAAGACAATTATGCCCATATATAGGAAGATTGTCTCGTGACCCTTTTTATATTTTCTTTTCCTTCTTCTTTCTTTCTTTATTAAATTCTCTTTTCCTTCTTGATTTGTGTTCCAATATTTAAGTCTCGATGAAAATGTGCTACTTAATTTCTCTTTATGATTAAACATTTATTGTTATTTTCTTATAAAATATTTAGTTATCCTAAACCATAGTGAGAAATCAAATAGTAATGTACATTCATTACAGATAAGTCAAGCACTTGATACTTTAACTAACAATTTCTCATTAATCATCAAAATTAGATATTATACATAGAGCAAAAATGATATTATATTTATTTTTTATTTTTCTTCTTCATTTCTTCTTTATTCTTATTAATAATTTCTTTTGAGGTTCAAATACATGTATACTTTTATTTTTCCATATAATATATCTAATTATTATCGAATTTTGTAAACTAAAAAGTTTGTGCTTAGTAAAAATATTTTTTATAATTTCTATTTTTTAATAAAATTGATGCATAAGAAGAAATTAATATCCAAAATTGAGAAAAAGGACCGATACGAAGAATAAGCAAAATAACATGGAAGCAAGCAAAAGCTAGAACCTAAACGGTACAAGTACAAAAGCCTTCACATGGTTCTAATGGTTGAAGCCGTCCCCACGCATTTTTTTTAAAATAAAAAGATAGATACTTCAAAGTTTTGGTTAAAATGATTTTTGGGTTATTTAAAATAAAAATAAAAATAAAAATAAAAATAAGAAAGACCCACAATAAAACTTAACAACACCACAAATTTAGGCCTGCTAAAGTATAGAAAAGGGGTTTTTGAAAAATTTTGAATTGCCATTTGATATTGGATTTAAATATACCAAGTCACTGAAAAGTAACTTTTGATCTTTAAAACACAAATAATATCTTTTAATTAGACAATTCTAGGATTTTTAAAATCAGAGAAATAAGTTCGAAAGCTACATGTGCAAGGTAAGGAGATAAGGTCAAAGTTTTATTCTCAAGCACCCCCCAACCCCCACAACCAAAAACCAGCAAAAACACCGGACAAAACCAATTGCGAATTTAATTTTATTCTTTCAATTTTAAGACAAAAATGAGTCAATCTATTGCTAAGCACATAACATGTACTCAATTTAACACAAAGTACCCAAACAAGTAAAAAAATATACATAACACATAAATAGTGAAATATAATGAAATGCTTAATTTCAATGCTTCCGCTGGAAAAGCCACGAAACAACGCACTCTCCGCTCACCCAATCACCTGCGACGAAATAAAAAATAATTAAGGAAAAATAGAAAAGAAAAAAGAAAATTACAAGATTCAATTGCTCCTATGTCCCATATGGGTTACATCACTTCTAAAAAGAGAAAATAAACTAATTACAAATGTTAATTGACAAATAGAAAGACTGATGAAACAAAAGTTGACTAACCTAGTCTTATGACCTAATTAAAACTACCTAAAACAAGTTCAGTAGTTAATCCGAAAGATTGTAAAATTTGGGGTGAAATCACAAATGTGTCATCTTCTCCATTGACACAATATGTCCCTGCTGCTGCGTAACCTAGAAATCATCATCTCCGGCGAGCTTTGGACTCGCCGGAGCTTCGCACTCTCTCTCCCACGCACGAACACACAATACACACACCAAATTCCATTGAACAACCAAAAATAGAACAAAAGGAAAATGTAAAAGAGAATCCAAACAAAAAATCTCTGGGTCTTTGATGGCTTTCTAGCGAACTCACGGGCTCCGATCAGCGTTGGACTGATCGGAGCTCCTCCCCACGCGCACAGATACAAGAGATTTGTCTCTTTACTTCAAGTACTCGTTTAGGCATTTCTTCAAACAGTAGATGGGCATACGACAATTCTAAAGATCTCTTACAATTTCACCAAGAGAAAGACCCAAAAATTGTAATCAAAATACGATTTCAGTCCAACAAAGCCAAAGAGTATACTCAGCCATGAAAAATGCAAATAACTCCAGGTTGAAAAAAATTCAAGAAGAAACTAGCAAAAGATGGTGTCAAAAAATATCAAATTGAAGTTAAAGTTGGAAAGGAAAGAATAGCTCACAGGGCGTTTTAAATGAAGACTTGATAACCGTGGTGGTATGGGCAAACTCCGACGACCCAGTGGTGGCAGCGGCTCCTCCTCTGTTTCCCGTCGGTTTTATTTTTATTTTTTTGAAAAAATCGTTCAAAACATCCCACACATTTTACAAAATGACTTTTTTTGTCTCACTTTTAAAAGTGTAATTTTACGTCCTTTACAAATTCACATTGACTAATTTTGGTCCCTACCTAGGTTTCCGACAAGTTTTTGGCCGGAATTCACCACGTGACTTGCATGTGATCATTTTTAAGGGTAAAATTGTCAAATCATCCGATTCATAGTCCCTTACATTTCACAAAATAGATTTTTTCGTCCCTAACATTTTACAAAATGAATTGTTTCGTTTTTTACATTTCAAAAAATGAATTTTTCCCTCTCTCACATTTTTTTAAATAAATTTTTTCATCCTTCGTTGATTATTCTATAAACGCACGTATATGTCTATTTGATTTTACCTGAACAGTATAAATAACATATAATATATCTCTATTTGATTTCATTTAAACAGGCTAATCGTAGTTGTACACATACTATTCAATAGGTATATACAGGGGTTTAAAACTAATAATTTTGTCTGAAACCCATGTATATATTTATATGATTTCACCATTTGAACCTATTCAATATTTGTAATCTTTCTCTTTTGGTAATAATTTATTTATTGAATTGTATGATAAGATTATCTAATTAACGGATCTTAACTCGAATTGTATAATTGTGTTAACAAATTTTAGTTTAAATCTGAAATTTCTACTCGCCACTTTTGAGACCAACAATTGAATTACTTGCCTTGTGATTGTTTTAAAATTTGAAAGTACCAATCACTTATTTCTTTTTGTCATACTTTTCTTTTGTTTATTTTTTTTGTCCAAATTTAATTCGATATAAATACTCAATAATATTTAGGATTAAATGTCTTCTTTATTTTCAAATTTTGAGTAAAATAAAATGAATATGAGTGAAAAATTAACAATTTTTTAAATCCATATATATATATATATATCTGTTTGATTTTACTTGAGCAGTATAAATAGTACATAATATATCTCTATTTGATTTCATATGCTATTCGTAC